CGTAACCACCCACTACCCAACCCACCCCCGGTGAAGCTACCCCGCATGCCACTCACCAAGGAACTTGATAGGTATTCGGACAGCGTGGAGTTGATTCGCTTCACCAATGTGCGACCTCTGTAAGTGGAGTGGAGGACGGGTGGGGGAAAAAAGTGGGGAGTGGCAGGCAGCCACGTGTTTGGAGGGGGGAAGGCAAAGGGGGAGAAAGGAGGAGGACAGTACGGAGCATCTAGCCTTGGAACTCCGATTCAGATCCAGAATACCCAGATCTAGCGTACCATGGACTCAGGCCGCGTCCTGCCAAGGTTCAGCTCATCACCCCCGTCTTCTACCCCATCATCCCACTGGGATGGGATGATCCCAGCCTTAACGCCCGACTCCTCCCACAAATCCCCCCGCCGACCTCCTCCCAGCCCCCCAGGGTCCCCCCTTCCTCCTACCCACCGCAGATGTGAGTACACAGCCGTGTATGTGTTCGAGGAGGCCTCCCCCGTATGGCGGCCTGGTTGGCCTGGATGCGCGCGGCCGCCTTGTCGAAGACACTCATGTAAGCCGGAAAAGAGCCGTCGTAGCGACCGGGCCGCTTCACGCGAACAGGGTACGCGGACTCGTCCCAAAAGTGGGGTCCCTTCGCGCATTTGTATGTATGTATGATAGCATGTACGCAGGCAGGGCAAGCCGGCAGACAGGGCAGGGCGGGGCAGCCGAAAAGGGTTGGGTGTCGCGGCGGCGGCGGTAGGACTGGATGGGGCGCATTGGGGTCAAAGGGGGGAAGCAACGCATGTATGGGCTCGTGTGCGGTTCAGTCGAGGTTCTAACCAAATCAGGTGCGGTAGGTCCCGGTATGAAAATCCATGATAGGAAGAAGACTATCCTTAGAAAGAGGAGGGAAACAGCCCTAAGTAGCGGTAGTAGTAATAGTAACAGTATTAGGGCTATCCGCCGCAAGAGGAGGGCGACGGGGAGGGAGGACCTGTTCTTGGGGGCTCTACGGTGGCACATCTGCACCCTGTCTATCGGGCACACACATACACACAGGTGGTCGCTGCAGACAGCAGGCAGGTGATCCATAAGCGGTTATCTCACACACATACACCGCCTACCACCAGGACCTTTTACATCCCGTGCCTTGTGGTCCTAGGCCCTGTGGTCTTAGGCCCCAGCCACGGGAACTGGATCCTGGATCTAAATATGGGCCCCAACTGAGCAGTCCCACCTTCCAAGAGCAGTCAATCATATCGGGGTGTTCCGTGAGGCGGTTATACAGGTCGGTTGTCCCGCATTTGGAAACTCCCAGTATTTGGAAATACGGTAAGCACTTGAACGTGCCATCTTGTGTCCTGTAGCCGATAGGGAGAGGGGTGTACTTGGGGACGAGAGCGGCAAGATGAGCTGGGGACGAGCGGCCATGGGCATGTTTAAGTAGGGAGGAATCCGACTCGAACCGATCTCCGCGTTGAAGCTTGCTCACCAGCAGGGGTTCCGATATTTTGTGTCATAGCTCGACGGGAGGGCGACGAAAGTGTCCCTAGCAGCGGCCTCGATTTCCGGGTAGTTCGGCAAGTGCGTATGCGCCTTCCAAATGTCGTTCACGTGGTAGTTCGGCACCTTCACCTGTGTTTCAACATGGCGTTCATGGCGCATTCATGGCTTCGCCGGTCTTCAGGAAGAAGCAACGCAACATACAGACCTGAGGTGCAAGGTAGCTCGACGGATTGACGTTCACGCCATCTGAGAACACGTTTTGAAGGTGCAAGCTTAGGAAGACGCAGAGAGTTACAATCGCTGTACGCAGTTTACTGTTCATTTTGCTTGCTTCTACGGTCACCCCTGCCTTAACTCCTAGGCTGATTCAGAAGTTCTCAAAGGCCTCATACGTATATGCCATGCTAAAGAGAGGAGATCGATGTGAAGGTGAAACCAGTCGCAAACCGCGTTCAAGTTCGATCATCAAAGAAGTCAGCCAAAGCACAAGCTATTGCGCAGGTCAGTAAAAGATCTATCCAGCTGCATAATAACAGTTCGCCATATTCAAGGACTGTGGAAAACAATCAGGTAGCTGTTCACGTACGGCTGTTCCGTAGTGAGAGTGGGAGAGACGAATGCAGATGACCGTCATGTGTACCCTGCCTATATCACCGCGTCTGCGCTGGGATCTCACGTTACAAAATGTCGATGCAGATGGTACCTCAATCAGCAGTTATCGCCTCACGTCAAAGGTTCCAGTTGGACTACAACTCGAGGACTCATGCTTACGGGTTTAATGCGGAGTCGTCGTGTTAAGCACGCTGTTTTTCTAGCGCTTACTGTCCAGCCAGCCCTGGGGCGAGCATCAAACTAATTGTCAGCACGTATAGCAATCCAAGCCCAAGCGCCCATGCCGTAATACAAGCTGTCGTATGTGCCTCCTGCATCCAGCGTACGGCACCCCAACAAGCCGAGCGGTCGGGCACAATCTTTAGGGCAGCATACATGATCATCCAAACCAACGAATTCCCACGATATTCCAGTCGAAAAGGGCAGATGCTTATCATGCGTCTGTTATGCATCAGCATGCAGCAAAACAACCATGGCCTTTCGTTGCGAAATAGGAACGAACTTGAATCCAGAAAAACCGACCAACATGCCATTAACCACGCAATCACGTTAATATGGGTTGAGGAGGGTTAACGAGTGCACTCTGCGCCGTTCACACAGCCAGCCATTCCCTTCTTCCCCACCCCACCACCAACCATACCGTTGCACGCCCTGTCTCGTTTCTAGCTCCCCACCAGCCTCATCTGCCCATCAATCTCACGACCCAGCCGCCCCTCATCCTCGCACGCAGCCCCCCTCAACCTTGCGCGACTCGCAGCCACTAAAAGCCACTAAAAGACATCCCCCAAACTTTAACTCTCTTGTTCTACTCAGCTGTGCGTTTTCGCGCTTTAACAACCACATCGATGCTTAAAACCCCCAGTCAAATCAAAGCCTTAAAACTGAAAGCCCTCCTTCCAGGCCTCATTTTAGACGTCGCATCAAAGTCCAGGTTCGATAGCACATAGCACACAGCATGGGTGGTGTCGGCCTATCCGTCGGCCTATCCGTCGGCGACACGGCGCAGGAAAAGCGACAACAGATGCCACCTTTAGGGGGACATGCTTAAGCAACCACCAACACCGAAGTACTGCAGACCGGCTTGAGAAAGGGAAAAAGACAGCTAAAAG